GAAACAGAGGTCGAGTGTTCAATATTTATGCAAGGGATGAAACATTTAACAAATGAATTCCCAACTGGTCGATGTTGAACTGTTTTCAAGGCTCACGTTATTTGATAAAATTAAAAGTTTCTTTATCTTACTATTGATTTTCAAATGCTCTTTCTCAAGGTTCTCTTGCTCAACTGTTTTTATTAAAAGATCTTTATCTAAAGCAACTGAAATTTATCCATTGTAAAAAAGGCGTCCATTCACCTGTGCCAAACGTTATCTCTAAAAAATCTAACATTGATTAAAACTGATGTCACTAGAGCACCATTTGTTTCACTGACAAAATTCTGATCAAGGAAATGTGTATGCTCTTTCGGAGCATCATGAGATTCTTTATTTTGAGAAATAATAAATCGATAACATAAGGGTATAACGGAATATGAAAGATAATCACTCAACTATAGTTCATTGGGGAAAAAATCATATCCTTGTACTTGCTATTGCGTTTATGTTTTTAACCGGTGTTAACCAAGGAAAACGCAGTCGTAAAAACAAGCAAACTTACTACGTACACTACAGCAACGCAGACGCAAGACTGAATGCGCTTGCGTATCTTAATTTGCTAACATTTGAATTTGCTTTTGCATATAGTTTGCATTGGCGTTGCTCCTGTTAACCAGCTACTTCTATCCTGCGCCAAGTCAGAGAATTTCAAACCTTGATTTTCATATATCAAAAAATATATCGAAATGGCTGTCCATAGGTCAATCGTTAAAAACGTCAGTAACGAAAGAAATCCTCCACAGTGGCAAAGCAGTATAAATGAAATACTGGATCGAACGATTCTTTTCGTCAGCATAGCCGTAATCATCAGTAACACCATCGCTCTTGCAGTTTTCTTGAAGAAGTCATTTATTGTGAAGAAGTCCACCTACCTTCAAGTGAGCTTGACCATCGCTGACTTACTCGTTGGAGCTTCGGGCTGCTTAGCCGGAATCTCGGACACAAAAGTAAATACATCTTCTTATAACTCTCTGAGCGAGTTAGTCATCTCGGTCGGAGAACGATTTCTCTTTGATCTGACAGTGTCTGCCTCGATCTGCAGTCTCGCTTTCATTTCTGTGGAGAGAGTTATTGCAGTGTTTTGGCCGTTCCATCATCGTCTTGTCAAACGTTGGCACTATTTCGCAACTATTGCATCTTTGTGGATTTTGATGACAATTAAGTCAGCTGTACCTTTCATCGATGAATTTCAGATCATAAACATAGGCATAACGGCAAAAATAATCATGTTCCTCTTTCCAGTATTAGTTGTTTTCACTATAGTCTTTTCATATTTGTCTATTTGGATCAAACTGAAATTCTTTACCAAGTTTCGTCGCTCCAGAACAATCCAAGAGAACAGTAAACTAACCAAAACACTTTTCGTAGTGACTTTAGTCTCGCTAGCCACTTGGTTACCATTAACCATTAAAGAACTGATTTTCATGGCTGGATATGTGAATAATTTTGCCCCCTTTACTATGATGGCTATATTTCTATGTCTTCTTTGCAACTCCTTTCTAAATGTTTTTGTATATTTGTGCAGAATGCCTGAGTTTAGGGTTGAAGTTCGAAAAATGTTTTGTAAATGTTAACGAGAGAATACGAAATTTTAACAAAACCGGCATGTTTATGTTTGCTCTGCTGTATCATAAATATAGCGTTGGCTTCTTCTGTGGTGTTAAAGATAACATGTAAATACGTTTATTTTACATTGCTGAAGTGCTCAAGGGCTGAAACATCATTTTATTCCTTTTCTTAAGTGATACTCAACATTAACTATATTTTCTTAATATTCAAAAATTGAATCAAAATTATTCTATACCTCAAAAAAATTTGTTTGGGTGTTGATTTTTTTGATACCAAAAATTACTTTTCTCCTCACTCTAGGCTTTCCTTCAATTCTATCCTTGTCCCTTTTTTCTTTCTTCCTTCCATCTAAAAAAACTCTTATCCATCTAATGAAACCATTATCTATCTATCCATCAACCCCCTTTCATCCATCAAATGTCAACCACACATCTTATAAATATTGCAGTGTTCGGATATCCCTTATAACTCTTTATTAATAAAGTTGGTGAGTTTGTTGTTGATGAAAGTCGTCAACCTGATCTGTAGTGTTAACAATAAGAATCATATTAATGAAATCAGTAAATAATAAAGTTGCATGGGGGTTTCAAAACAAGACTTCGAATAAGTATTTCATGAAAAAAAAAAAAAAGAAATGAAATAGCTTTAAATATTTTATATTATAAAACAAATATTGTGTCTTACGTCTAAAGGTGAATAGGGAGAAGATAAACAAAATTTCATTGACTGCTCAAATCCTTAAGAATGAAAACAAAGAGTCCAGTCCGGCGTCCCCAGAAAATGGATCTTGGAAAAAAGACTTTTTAATCGTATTTTTAGCCTTATAACCAAATGTAACATTAATTTTTAAAAAAATAACTGTGATTAGTTAACGACGACACTTTTGCCAAGTTCCGGGTCCAAAAAGAATCAATGAGGAAGAAAGTTGTCCACTAAAATGATATGTGACAAGTAGGCAATTCGATGGTATGCCGTGTAAAAGAATCATATAATTATCAGTTCTTGAAATAAGGCAAGAGTTTGTTTAGTCGTCAATTCCACAAAAATAAAAAAGAGGCAAGACACCATTCGAAATATTGACGTATAAGAATATTTATATATTGAAATTAAACTGGGCTGTGCTTTGCCGGTATATACCGCATAAGCGTAAAAGCATTTCCATTACGAAAACCAGAGAACACTAAATACGATGAGAATCAATCTCTCTAAATACGAACAGTATATCTGGTCCACTGTCTTTCTTCTCCAGGCCTTGGTCATCTTAGTTGGTAACGTTGTGGCGCTTAGGATTTTCTTAAAACGAAAATTCCTGATCAACAAGTCCTGCTTCTTGTTAATAAATCTTACATTCGCTGACTTAATTGTTGGGTTGTCATCTACTGTGATTTGGTTTGTCGCAGTAGCCCATCATGGTGGAGGTCAAGATCATATAAATCTTAGTCGACTTTTGTTTTTGATTCCATTGGCTTCTTTGTTCTCTTTGGCTGTCATTTCTATTGAAAGAGCTGTGGCTGTTTTTATGCCCTTCCGCCATCGTGTGGCCAATAATCGACATTATTTCGCTGCAGTCGGATTGTGTTGGGTTATTTTTGCTGTACCTTCTATTCTTGGTCCTCATATTCACAATACCAAATTCAAAGATGTTCTATACTTCCTCGTGATCATCTTTCTTCTTCTGATCCTTACAGCATCCTACGTGTCTATCTACGTCAAAATGAAATTCTTTCCTACCCTAGAGCAAGGTAGAACCAGGCAGTGTCAGTTCAAGTTGTCAAAAACACTTTTCCTTACCACTGTGGCTTCAGTAATAGCTTGGTTTCCTTTACCAATAGTTCAGTGTTACACCTATTTCTGTGACTATCATTGCAAAGGAGACGTTCTTGACATTTGCATCATGTTAACGTTGGTAGCACAGCTTAGTAACTCATTCCTGAACTTGGTTGTGTATTCATTTAGGTTGCCTGAGTTTAGGAAAGAATTGAAGGCAAGCTTGTGCAGATGTTTCAGAAGACATAGAGTTCATCCTATTAGCAGGGCTGATGCTTTTTGCCTTGATACAAGTCGAGCCTTACGTACGGAATAACGAGTCTCACATAATATCGACTAAACAAGATACTGAAAACCCTAGAGAGCAGCCATTGCCATTGGATGCGAGTTTTAGCTGTTCGTTAACTTAATCTAAATGCAAGGATGAACTGAATATTTCTTCTCCAGAGAAGAGGTCGTCGTACTCAAGTAGGAATTCAGTAAAAGTTGCTCTAGCTTGATGACTACAAGCCGATTAATATAAGAAGCCCTTCCAATTATCAATTAGTCGAAGCCATACAGAACCCTACTTTCTCTTAGTATTTTGGTAGCCAATTTAATTGGAACCTTTAATGAAGAGGTGACTGAGCGAACCCAAGGGGCGAGCGAAATACCGTGGAAAGGCAGAGTGTACAAATGTTCCCACCTAGTATAAGGCTATGTCCTCAATCAAGTTGTAGCGTTAAAACAATTGCAACAAGGATATGATATTTAGTCCTACTATAGTTAATCCAACATTGGAATTTAAAAAAAGAAAGATTGATCTTACTCAAAGTATGTAAGGCGACTAAGACAGGGTGACTGAAGCAGTTCTTGACTTTATTTGTAAAATCGAACAAATGGAGGGGATTTTGTGAAGTAATAACATTTCAACATTGTTTGGCTGATGATGAGAAGAAGGACCAGGATAAGGGGAACCCTTCGAATTAAATCTTCCATAAAGCCTATGTATTGAGCTTTTCTGCAGCTGTTTCATATCCAACTTCTATATCTATTCTTGTTAATATTTTTAAATAGCTTTTCTGCAGGTGTTTCATATATAGTCTTTATTTAATCTTGTTGATATTTTTAATATCAAAGTTTAATATTATAAATCTAAAAACATAGATTCATCAGGTATTAAAAACCCGACAAACACTATGTTTGACACAGGTATTCGGACTCAAGCAAAGGGGGAAGTGGTGGGGAGGG